TTTTTCATGATCTGATTTAAACTGTAACTAAAAATTGCTAGTTTGTATGAGCCACACACATATATATAATAGAGATTTGGAATGGCACCATGAAATCTGTTTTCTATAGGAAACTGAAAATAGTCACAGCACCTGAGTTTTTGATTCAGTTCATAAAGATACTTATTTTGTTAGTGAATTGGTATAAGGACCTAAATCTGTGAATTGGAGAGAATCATATCTCTATCTATGTGGAAAGGTCATTATAAGCATTAGTAAAAATACATGCGTGTTATCAGTATATATCCTTATAATAAATATGGTTTCATACTACCTGACTGTAATAATGATTAACTGTAATTGTCTCAACATATTAGTCATTCTGATATATGAATGAAGATATCTATAACCATTCAGTCAAGATAGAGTCAGTGTTGACCATGTGCTCCTGGGGTTTTTATTGCTTAAATTTGGTTTGAGTTTGAGTTTGAATTTCCCTTTTTGCCAGGACGTCTCACTGGTTTAAAACCTAAATTGCCTCCTGATAGGAATCTTGATACAACAGCCCTCCCGGCCTGTGTGCGTAACCAAGTCAGATTAAAGGTCTTGTTTTATTTTAAGAGGATCTCATGACTCTCATTCAAATAAAGTGTTTGATTAGAAAAGATTAAATATGACTAATGAAATAAAAATTATTAACTATAATTTATAAACCAAAATAGATCTTCACAATGATGCAAATATATACAAGTCATTCCAGATGTACTCTGTGTTTTTCTAAGAAAAAGTTCCCTTGGAACAAATTAAGAACTGCATGTGTGGCTTATTTTGCTGTTTGTCTTTTTGTTGTTGTTGTTGTTTTTAATGAAATAAGAAAGCTTTCTGGGTCATATACAGATTATACAATTACTTCTTTTTTAATAGAATTTTAAGTTAAATTTAAATTAAAAATAAAATTGAGTTAAAATATTTACACACACAGGTTTTTATTTGTCTTTATTATTCCTCCCTCTGCCCTGCTTATCCTAAGACTGCCTACCTCCTAAATTTATTTCCAAGTAATCATCTTTATCTGGTTTTTTTGAACAAAGAAATATGTATATGATATTTCCAAGCTAAGTGTAGCATCACAGCCTTCTACTCTATTTTTAGATAAAGAGCAGTTGTTCTATAAGTGACATTTATTTTGCTCACATGTTCTTACCTCTTCCTTCTCAGTAATAATGAGCCCACTCATGGATTGAGCTCTGTAAAACGACTAGACTGACTCTTCATTCAGAAATATTTCAGTTTAAAACTCAACTTAGAGGAAAGCAAATTCCTCTCCTCTTTCTCTTCCTTTTTCTCACTCTCCTTCTCCTCAAAACTTCAATCATACTGACCTTTTCTCTCTTAACAATACATAACAAACAATTTTCCATAAATTCAATATTTTCTACAATCATATTTTCACTGGTATGTCATATTCTACTACATGAATGAATCTAATTTATTTAACTCTTTCCAATTTTTAAATCTGCCCTTCAGTTTTCAAAGATGATGAGGTTGAATTTATCTAGATGAATAGTGGAACTAAAAATTAGACATTTTTCCCATAGTTGCTACATTTATGATATCCTTAGAGCTACCATGAGCTTATTTCAAAATGTCTGCTTCCATTTGATATCACCATGAACTTCAGAAAAGCTTTGCACTAAAAGCCACACCATTTTTTGATTGATGTATTATGAATGTATATCTCTGCCGCTGTTCCATCAGCATCTCACAATTATGCTTTATGGCTACATAGACCTACTCAGTTATTCAAATGCAGTGATGGTTTCATCATTAGTCACACCCAAACTCATGCATATGCAGACACTATACACTGGTCTATGGATTTTCTTCTGCCTTCTAGCCTTACTATTCAGTCATCAAAATTTACAGAGTACTCGTATGACCAACACTGTACAAGGCATGACACCAAAGATTTGATATGAAGTCCCTGGAATTAAGGGTACCAATAACAATAACTATAAAATACTAATGATGATAGGGAACGTTATATAACACACATATCAGAAACTGTCCTACACGTGGAAACAACCTAAACGTCCATCGACGGGAGAATGGATAAAGAAGATGTGGTGCATATATACAATGGAATACTACTCAGCCATTAAAAAGAATGAAATAATGCCATTTGCAGCAACATGGATAGATCTAGAGATGACCAAACTAAGTGAAGTAAGTCAGAAAGAGAAAGATAAATACCATGTGATATCACTTATATATAGAATCTAAAATGTGACACAAATGGACTTATCTATGAAACAGAAACAGACTCACAGACATGGAGAACAGACTTGTGGTTGCCAAGTGGGAAGGGGTGGGGGAGGGAAGGATTGGGAGTTTGGGATTAGCAGATGCAAACTATTATATATAGGATGGATAAACAACAAGGTCCTATTGTATAGCACAGGGAACTATGTTCAATATCTTATGATAAACCATAATGGAAAAGAAAATGAAGAAGAATGTATACATATGTATAACTGAATCACTTTTCTATACAGCAGAAATGAACATAACATTGTAAATCAACAATACTTGAATAAAAAAAAAAAGAAACTGCCCTACATATTTTTTGTACATTTATTATTTAATCCTCACAACAACCTATAAACTGTACTGTTTATCATTGTTCCCACTTTGCATGAAGGAAACTGAGGCACGAAAATGTCTAAGTGATTTTCCCAGGGTTACCAACACTTTTAAGTGAAAGACCCAAGATTGGATCTCAGGCAGTTTGGAATCTGGACTTAATCTTTATAATATGATTGGTGGGGATAAGCAGCATATTCAAGAAAAATTAGAGAACAAAATAGTTCATTATCAAGTGTTAAATTACTAGGTAAAAATAATTGGTACATTAGCTACCGTATAAAGAAGTGTTAATTGTATGGCATGGAAAAAGGAGCTTGAAAATGAGGTCTTCTTAGATAAGAGTGATTAAGGAATTCTCCACGGAGAGGCGGTAGGTATGTGAAGACAGACAAAGGCTTCCTCAGATTGGGGGTGGAGGAGAAGGACAAATCCATTCCTCCTGTCACCAAGGTCAGTCTTATAGTTTTGCATTGCTAATGAGTAACCAATTTGGGTGTTGATATTGTGTATTTGGCAGGGGAAGAATGTGAAAAAAACAAAGTGTGGTATTTTGTATGTGATCATTTTAAATCAGTTTGTAAGAATGAGTTCTCATTGAAATTTGCTTTGCTTAAGACTTGCCAGTCATGGTGAAAATTTACATAAGAGTAAGTATTTCCAGGATGCTTGTTTTTCACTTGCACAATGTGCTATTTGGAAAACTTGAACAGGCCGAAGATTCCACTTTAGAAAAATCATTCTAGCTCATTATTTAGTACATTAGTAATTTATCACTAATTGTAGCAATTTAACAAGAAAAATGAACAACAAAATCTTATGTGCTGTGTATCCAACCCTATGACCTTGAGTTATTTATGGCCATATCTACTAGTATAATTAATTTTTGGAAAGTGTTATAACTATAATTCATGTTTGCTAGAAAAAATGGAAAATCTTATATAGAGATGAATCTTTAGTAGTTTTGAATAGCTGTGATAAAACTATTTTTTTAAAGGCCTTGCTAAAGGCATCAGCATCCCTTTCAAAGCAAGGTCAGATGTGCACTTTCTAATAGAGAGTGAGGAAAGTTCATGTCTTCTGACCTTCCCAAATAAAACAACACATTCAAATCTGGCCTTAGCAAAGGTAAGTTCTGACTGTGTTCAATACATGCTCCCATCCCCCCTCCATTCTAAATAGAAACTCCTTAATGAATCCAGACCACATTTCAATTGGTTTATAGTAATATCTTCACTCAGTTAATGTAAGGGCTTGCTTTTTGAATTTTTGGAAACATCTACAATTGAATTCATTTTTATTTTGGTAAAACAGGTAAGGAGTAAATAGGACATATTTATCACTGTTAATTTATTAATTTCCCCTGTGCTTTGATGATCAGCTATCTAATTTCATTAACGCTTTCATATTGGTCATATATACCACTGTTTTTGCCATGGGTTTGTTCTAAATGCTAATGTTTGTTTCGAGATCAGCTTGGGTAAGCTGGACACCTTCCATCCTTTCCTATAGAATGGAAGATGTCTCTCTTCCAGAGATGGATGGTACTTCTACAGACCTGTCAGATCCCACCTGTCTTTTCAGCTTTTCGTGCATGCATATAATGACTAGCTCTTAATTTAAGAACTTCCTTATAATAATTAAGTATGAATCATTGCTCTTCCCATTATTCTGGATGCAATTCTTGTTATGCTTCTCTCTCAACAAGATAAAGCTGCTGATTTAAGTGTTGGCATACGAGTAAAACTCCTGCAATGATTCCAGCTGGAAGAGAAGAAGGAAGAAAAACATAATGTCTGTTTGGCTTTAATATTTGCACTTACAAAATTACAGAGCCAGGTGGACAGCAATACTGTAGCTTGAAATTGTAGGAAATCCATAAGGTCTGTAAATAGTCTAGTGATTATGTTTTAAGTGTTTAGTGCCACATATAACAGTTAATCAATGGAATTCTACGGTCCTGCCAATTTGTCAGTATGTCACTGCCCCTCTGCTAGCAGTGAGTGGATTTCCTGAAATGTGCAAAGGAATAAGTCCCAATCCACAAGGATGCTTCCTGCCAGGGAAGAAAGCCGTTCTTCCAGTAGGATCACAGAATGACTGGGAAGGCACCCGAAGTCCTGATTCCAATTGTCCTGAAGAGGAATAGAATTATTTTTTGCTCCCCTTTCTTCTCTGCCTCTTACTTTATCCCTGACTATAATTCCATTCCATCCTTGCTTCTGGTGATTCCCCATTTCGTGGGAAGAAATTTATTTTTTCTCAGTCATTAAATATATATTCAGGGAATATCTCACGCAGTTATATTTACATTATAAAGGTCTCATCTGAAATGTCAGAGGCAATTGAAATATTTCATTTGAAAGAAATATGAAAAATCATGGATTTTTATTCTGATAATAATTTCAGTGTAATTAAGGAGAACAGATTAGTACCACAAATGTACAAGCTTGAATATTAAGAAGGGCAGTAAGATTCCTGAAGCAACCTCATGTTTTGCCTACAGCTAAGGTATGTTTTTCTAAGCAGGTCAGTTATGAGGACCCTGGAAGCCAGCTTGTCTGTTTCCATGAGCATCACATGAATGCTTGGATACCTGAGGGTTACACTATGCAGGCTCTTGAGGATTTATCCACTGGACTGAGAGCTTCCCACTCCTGGAAAGCATATCCCAGTCATTCACGGCAGTTATCAGAGGGCGGCGGAGGAAAGCAGAAATCCTTCTGTCTCCTTTTCCTTCAGTGAGACCAACAGCAAGGAGATGTGAGTCTAAAGCTTGAGATGTGGGCATCACCTGTCCCGATGAGGACATGTGGTTTGTGAGCAGAGAAGGACATTTGTAATCCCCACCTTTCTTTTTTTAGTTTACTATACTTCTTTCCAAGCTTATGCCAGCCCAAATTATCTCCTGCTTTTGTTTTTCTGGTGATGTTTTCTCTTCCATTGCTAATAATTCTTTTTTCACCATGGATGGGTGATCACCACAAAAGACTTGATTAGATTGACTATCTCTAGAAAACAACATAAGAAAGCATCACCGAATTTATAGTCAAATAAACTTAGTTTAGGGTCATCTAGTTTAGTGGAAATTTTTGCCTACTTAACACCCAGAAGAATTTTGAAAAACTATGTATCCTTTCACACAATGTTAGGTGGCCACTAAAAACTTTTGTCATAAGTTGATATAGTTGTAAAGAGTATAATTTCCAGATCAACAAATATTGGAGTTTTAAAAATAAGTCAACTAGAATTTAGATACATGTTTGTAAATTTACCTAATGAAATCTAAAAATTGTAATGATTTTATATCTTGGATCAGCCATGGAAAGGTACACATGAACAAGCTCAAGTAACAGTTGGCTATTTTACATGACTTTTCTTTCTTGAATGTAAATTTCACTCCATTTCTCCCTTTGAGTTTTGTTAGTGTAAATGTTTTTATTCCTGAAAAATGCTTTGTTGATCATCATATTTTTTCACTCTGATAAAAATGTGGGCAAAAATTTCTGTGCCCATAAGACTCTAGAGGTTAAAAGTTTCTTCCAGATTGATTTTCATTATGATTATTCATTGATACAGAAAGAATCAAGCAACATAAATTCATAAATACAGAATTTTTTATCAAACAATAGAAATACAAGTGCAGCATAAATACCAGAATTAATCAAACAGCAGAAATACTAATGTATAGGACCTCTGAACCTGGGGTCATCTCCATGACCCTTCAGAGATGTCCCCCGTGGACACAGGGCTGCTTTATTTGGCCATAGGCAATTCCTGGAGACAGACTCGGCAGTGTTCCGTCAAAATCCATACTCCTGACAATCGTGTAAATGAGTGTCACAGTCCTAGAGGGAGAATTTGACAGTGGGGCACAGATTACTACATATAACAGTTCTTCAGTTAATGCATAAAAGCATTTAGGACAGTGCTCAACGTACCACATTTGATAAATTATTAAGAAATTATTATACCATTAATAAGCTCTGTGTTTTGATAAAATATTATTCACATTTCTAAACTAAATAGAATATTTTATTAAATTACAAGTAAGACCTCTAACATTAGTAAAGTCTAAAGATTAAAATATTGGACACATAGGGAAAAAAGAACCTAAATATTTGCCGAATGCATTTGAATAGCCAAAATAATATTCTTCTGCTCTCGAAAAAATAAAAATCAATTTCCTAGGTTTCATTATTTGTTAATTATTTGAGTAATTGCACGTTTTCTGTAAGAGAACTTTTTTTTCTATTTGGGAGTAAAGTTAAGATCACTTCTCTTCCCGAGAGAGCACTTTTGTGTCTCTTACTAAGTGGTCCCTTCCCTCAAAGTTCTACATTCCCTCACTTTTATTCTGCTCCTCTCCAGAATCACAGATCCTGTGAGTTTCAGTTTCATTTAAGCCAAAGCATATGAGAAAAGTCTTTCCAGATTCTACTTAACCATTCCTAATATTTATGTAAAAAGACATGAAAATGGCAAACATACTCTTTAGATGAGTACATATGAGTTGTTAAGGAAAGTATTTCATATTAAAATTTTTGTCTTTGAATTACATGGAATCTCTCTTGAAAATGAGTCAAAGATGTTGAAATCCACTATTGTTTGCTAAATGTGTTTGCATAAATCTGCCTTTTACTCTGAGAAGATAAATATAGGATTTGAATTATTGAACTGTTGCTTATATAAAGTAAACAGCATACCTTATTTTAAACACATTTTTAAACATATTTCAGAACTACTGGCTTATACTATAAAAACTACCAGTAAAAAGAAAAAAATGTTATCTGAACTAAGAGGCATTTTTCAGCTAGCCTAAGAATAAGTCTTAGTCTAAGAAGATTATGTGGAAACAACAGTAAATCTATCTCAGAATAATAATTACATAAAATTTCTTTTCTTAGAAGGGGAAGGTATAAATACAAATGGAGATAGCTAATTTTTTAGAAATATTTAAGCATTAGTAAAATAGTCATACAATTTACTTCTAAACTCTACAGAATGGTTTAGAACTTTTATTTTCAGCAGTTGTAAAACTCAACTGGACTTGATATTTCTAACTTAAAATAAGCAGGATATAAAGAAATGGAGAGCATAAATTACTATTTTCTAAACACTTGAAAATCTAAGGTATGATTTCTGTATTTTAAGGAACAAAGCTAAATTTACTTCCCACATTTTATTATGTGCACATTTATTATATCAAGTTCATTTTGGTGTTCTAATTTTGAAATAAATTTTAAAATAAACACCTTAAATAAAAATAAAATAGGGCTTCCCTGGTGGCGCAGTGGTTGAGAGTCCGCCTGACGATGCAGGGGACGCAGGTTCGTGCCCCAGTCCGGGAGGATCCCATGTGCCGCGGAGCAGCTGGGCCCGTGAGCCATGGCCGCTGAGCCTGCGGGTCCGGAGCCTGTGCTCCGCAACGGGAGAGGCCACAGCAGTGAGAGGCCCGCATACCGCAAAAAAAAATAAAAATTTAAAAAAATTTAAAAAAATTAAATAAAATAAAGGCCTTAGTGTTTAAACTACAACTATCTTCCTTTTCAAAAATTTTTAAAATAAGAACCACTCCATACCCTCCTCTACCAAAATTATTCTAAGTCCTGAAAAAGGATTAAAAGAGTAAAACCAATCTTACTGATCTGTTCACAGATGTTCACATTTTAGTGTACTGGATCAGATTTCTCTGAATAATTAATGGAATTGGCATTAATTGATATTTCCCAAAGTCTTACATGGTCGGTTTTCAAGATGCCATTCCTTCCAGGTTTCAAGCTGTTCATCAAACAGCTGCATTGAAGAGAGACAACCCTGAGTTCTCTACCTTTCCAACAAAGAAACTAAGTGAAGAGGATTAATCACCTTGTAAGGGAGGAAGTATTATTTTCCTTTTGCAGATAAGGAAAGTGACGTTATGCTAGGAATCCTGCCCAAGATCACCATCTATGGAAGCATGAGCATCATGTCTTCCCAGCATCGCTCATCTGCAGGTGGGAGCCCCCCTACTCCCTCCTCTGATCACGAGATCAAAGCAACAGGAAGGAAGTACCCTTTGGGACCCTGTATGTATTTGAGGCCTGGGATAGAAGCCAAGGTGTAGGAATAACATTTTTGCTAGTGATTTCCTTGGAGCTGGAGGTGGTGAAGTTCACGCCCAAGGGTGAAGCAATGTTGGCCATTCCCCAGGGCATATTATTTATAAGATAGGTCTTTTTAAGTTGGGGGTAAACACTTGCTTCAGCTCGCTGGCTCTCTTTTTTGGAGGGTCTCATAGACATTCCAACATAAGAGGCAATTTTGTGGTAAGAGTGATCTCCCTGGGCAGGTGTATATGATTTGCTGCTTATTGAAATCAGGAGCAGTAAAAAGAGCTGAATATAGCTGAGAGGGGAGTAACCCTGGTGGATATGAGAAGCTGTGTATATTTTGCAGAGTGGATAAACTGTTAGTGGTTCAATGCTTTTTGAAAACGACTTGCAAAGCTGCTGCAGGGGACAGATAAGTAAATGTTGATTGATTCATTGCAGGGTGCAGGCCCCTAGCTGCAGTCAATGACTGGAAATGTGCACTCTGGAGCGCCCTTTCTTGTTGCACACCTAATTTGCTGCTCCTGAGGCGAGCTCTTTCAATTCAACGTGGCTCCGATTCCTCCCTATATGGATTTCACCTCATTTTTCTTTAAATGCAGATTTGCAGACCCTGCTCAGACCTATTGAATCAAATCTCTGGAAGGAGGGGCCTGGGCTTTGTTTCTTAATAAGTCTATCGGTGATTCCCCCTCCTTCATATTGTTAAATGTTATTTGATACCTATAAATATTATATTATATATATATATATATGTATGTATGTAGTGATACGTCTTTTTAAAAATAAAGCACAATAAAGTGTACCTTCATGAACCTATCACCCAGCCCAAAAGCTGGATCATTAACAATAATTTATTTATTTTTATATTTATCTATGTGCTTCTCTGTATGCCTTCCCTCTGCCTCCCTACGAGAGGTAACATTTTACGTTTTGGATCTCACCTCATTTGTTAGTGAGGGTGAAGCTGGCTTGAAGCACAGCCTACACCAGAACAAGGTGATACTGGAAAGTGGGCGGACAATTTTGATAAAAATTTCAAGTGAACAACAGCGATAAAGGCTGGAGGTGTGTCGCCTGAACTGCGCTGATTTGTAGATTCATAGCCATCGTTGCTCTCTGAAAGCCACATTCACGTTCACAGTCATGAAAGTCTGAGTGTCTGTGGGAAGACCTTCCTCTGGGATCAAGGTCCTTCTCACCCTGATGATCCATGAATAAACATTTTCACAGGGCAGCCCTCTACTTTTATTTTATTAGGAGAAGATCGCAAAGGTCAAGTTTTAGTATCCTGATCAGCAGAATCAAATTTCTTCTCACTAAAGCACCATATGCTTATCTGGGGTCTGAGTCAGATTTTAGATAGTTTATTCCTCTCTTACTCACTTTCTCAGGGTTTCTAAGTTGTCAGGGGAAGATATAACTTCAAAGGAAGTGAATAACCTGGACAATAGGATATGATAAACAACTTGAAGTGAAAATAGCAATGAAAAATTTATACTTAAGAATATATTTCATGAAATATATTCTACTTAGTCCTTTGAAATATAGACAAATTCTCTTTGCTAATATTTTATTTAGAGTTACTGCTTTTATCATAATAAGCCAAACTGGCTTGCAGTTTTGTATTTTGCTTCTATTTTTATCAAATCTGAGCATGAAAATTATGTTGACATCATTGAGGAGCTTTATATATATTTCAATGGCTTATCTTAAATAATATGGGAATTTTCTGTTCTTTAGGGTCCAGGTAAAACTCAGCTGTGAAGCCATATGGTCCTGGTGTCTTTTTAAATGATAGATTCTTGACCGTCTTATGGATTATTGGGTAGCTGATGGATTAAAATTGTCTACTTCTTGTTTTTTTTAAACATGAATCCAAGAATAATAGAGTGCTTAATATCAGGAAATGTATCCATTTAATCCAGTATAGCAAAAATAGTGAAAGATAAAAGCCCAAGTTGATTAAAAGGCATTTGAAAAAAATTCAATAGTCAGTCCTAATTAAAAATAGCACTAGAAAGAAACTATTTAAATCAATAAAAATAATTTTCCAAAAACTAGCAGCAAATTCTAAAATCAGAACCAAAGATAATCCATTTCACGTTAATTTTAACACTGTTACAGGTATTATAGTAAATACTAAAAGAAAATGGAATAACTGGCAAAAAACATGGGAAAAAAGAAAAACTATTACTTTTGCTGATTACACGACTGTACACTAGTATACAAAGAAAACTCAAGACATTCTAATTTTTTTTTTTTGCGGTACGCGGGCCTCTCACTGTTGTGGCCTCTCCCGTTGCGGAGCACAGGCTCCGGACGCGCAGGCTCAGCGGCCATGGCTCACGGGCCCAGCCGCTCCGCTGCATGTGGGATCCTCCTGGACCGGGGCATGAACCCGTGTCCCCTGTATCTGCAGGCGGACCCTCAACCACTGCGCCACCAGGGAAGCCCCTCAAGACATTCTAGTACAAAAAATTCTAAAACTAATAAAATAATTTATTCTAATTTCTGGATAACTTATTCTAATTTCTAATTTCTGGAAGGAAATTCTGGCATAGGATAAAACATGAGTAAACCTGGAAGATCTTATGCTACGTGAAATAAGCCAGACACAAAAGGACAAATACTGTATGATTCCAAGTATGTGCGGTACTTTGAATGGTCAATTCATAGACTGAAAGTAGAATAGTGGTAACCAGGGGCTGGGGGACGAGGGAATG